TTTTATTTGTAAAGGAAGAAGGACCCGAATTGTCAAAGCATTACTTAAGAATAAGAACAGAGTTGGCTCTCACACTACTTAATATCAAAAGACACTATATAGACAATATATATGAAATAGCTTGGTATGCGTTTAATGGTAGATACAGAGACACATAGTGGGATAGAGTTGAGAACCCAGAAACAAATTCATCCATTTGTGAACAGCTGTTTTGTGAAAGGGCCAAAATCCATTCAATGATGAAGAAACAGGCTCTTTAGTAAGTGACACTGCCAAACATGGATAACCCCTCGGAGAAAAGTGAAACCGGACATATATCTTCCACATTACAGGGAAACGAGCTTGAAATGGATCAAAGATTGAATATTTAAAATGAAACTGTACGGTTCCTGGAAGAAAAAGCAAACAAAAAGGAAATTATTGGAATACAATAAGATAAATCAGGTGATTGGGACTTCAAAAATTAAAACCTTGAGGTTATCAAAAGATTTTACCAAAAGTAAAACTACAAATCAGAGATGAGGAAAATATCTTCAGAAATGGCATATCCATTAAAGGTCTAATTTTTTAAATATGAAGAAAAGTTAACAACAAAAAGTCAAATAAACCAATTGTAAGGTAAGCAAAGGACATGAACAATCCCTCACCAGAAAGGCCACTCAAATAAGTCTCTCTGAGTGTGCTATATTGGATAAGTGATCTGTTTGCCATGACAGAGACGATTGCTTTCAATAAATTGATTTGCAGGAATTTTCTGAATGAACAACTTATGTGAACCTTATTCTGTGCAGTGACCAATTAGGTCACATTGATCATGTGTGCTCCACAGTTTGAACCGAGTCATGTTGACACATAGGAGGTTATTAATTAGTGTGCATTTGTGATAAGACATTTAAAATATATACTTCCAAGATCATAGCATAAGTACGGTAGACATCTGATTTTTAAAAGACATTAAAAGTTACAATAGTGAAAATAGTTTAAATAAACATGAAACTGCTGTGGTCCAGGTACCTCATCCTTGAGCCCCTAACCTCTGTTTTCCATTTAGCACTGCCTATAACCGAATTATGCCCCCTCCTTATGGGGTGCAAGATGGAAGAGAAGGTGTGGAGAGCTGGTTTCAAATTTGATAGCAAGTGGGAAGTAAGCATTTTTTCTGCCTAAAGTGTGAAATAAAGTGCACCCTGCACTGTATATGAAGATCTTCATGGAATTTTCAGTTTCATACTAGCAATTAGCTCTGTCCAATGTTTTGAGAATCAATGCTTCCTTCTCCACAGACACAGATACCAAACCCAAAACTCTTCACTTCTAATCTGACTCATCACAACCTTGTAGGACAGAGCAGAATTGCTCCGTGGGGTTTCCAAAGGCTGCTTTATGTGAGAGAGTCTCATCTTTCTCCCTCAGAGTGGCTGTGGGTCTGAACTGCTGATCTTGTGGTGAATAGCCCATTGGGTAACATACTCTGCCAGCAGGGCTCCTTCACACACTCATTTTTCTTCAAACTGTGCTTTGCCATCAAACCAAATTCTGAGTTTCACTAACTTCACCTCACTTTCCTTCCAAGTTCTCAAAATGATGGCTGCTGCAATATTCCAAATGGAATAAAGATGCCGGGATGTATTTTATGTTTTTCTTGTGGACATGTATGTAACACAAGAAATGGGGGCTGTTAATTGTTTTGATTGGGAAGCTGTTGGGTTTATGGTAGTGTTGTGCTTCCTGTAGTTATTGTATCTAAACTTATAAGCCTTTCTGGAAATCTTATGTACATGTTCTACAAGCTGTATTCTACAAGCATTTATCATAGAAGGTAATTACTGATCATTATTTTTTTTATTTCCAGTAGGTATGTATGTTTACATATTTATGCATTCATATGACAGTATGTATTTCACCTTCCTATGGGGGCTTTAGCGTGTGTGTATGATAGGAAGTGAAGATGTGATGGAATAAAGGGAACTGTGTTTGAAGCATGCGATCATTTGTGTGCATGTGCAAGATAGTAAGGGTGTGCACTCAGTCCCCAAGGTGACTTATTACCAGATTTTGATATGGATATTTGCTTCCCCTTATCACATATTTAACAGAAAAGAGGAAATAAATAACCCATTACTGGAAATATTTAATTTTATTTCTTTCTGAGTGACTGGGCACTAAAATAACTTGCTATATAAAGATAGAAAAATATGTATCTTTATATGAACTTTGTTTTGTGTTCCCCATGATTAGCTTTGTCAAACTGGGGTTGCTTTAATTATTTTACATAACATAGGGAAGTTCCAAAGTAGGTCTTGCAAATGAACATTGTGCAGTGGGGCATAGGTTTTCTACCTGAAGAGAGGCAGATTACAGAAGTACTCTTGGGTGGCTTTATAATATGTTTACCATGGAAACCACCAGAGTGTGCCTTTCCAATGACCTGCAAGTCGTGATTACTACAGAGAGACAGGAAAGTGAATGTGTTTTTCCAGGGGCTCTCAGCATTTATCATAGAAGGTAATTGCTGATGATTAGCATTTACAGATTATTTTCTCATTACCATTACACCACACCATCCACACTCATGCATACACATATGTATACACACATTCATATATTTTAAGGCAATGTTACATGATCTTCCATCTATCTAACTAACTATCATCTATTTCTCTATCTAGCTACCATCTATCTATCTAATCTGTCATCTGTCAGATATAGTTGCTGGGAAGTTTTCCAGAAGTTACATTACTTACACTTCATTTTAAAATACAAAGACTAGTGCCAGGTATCATCAGAATTAATCCCTAGCTACTTATACAATGTTGCCTGCTAAAGACAGTGAGAAATTTAGTATCAAAACGATGAATATAAATTAGGTGGACAAAATTAGAAACTCTAATTAGTAGACGCAGAATGCCTTGAGGGGGACTCTGAGCCAGGTGGAATCCGGTTACTTGTACATGAAGTTTACGTGACCAGCAGAGATTTCCTTGAGGATGAACTGACAAACGTACACTTGTAAAATGAAAAGTGGATCATAGTTTTATTTAATTATTCACTCAGAGACTTCCATATTAGTAGATACTCTGATAAACAATTGTTACCAGAGTTAGGGATGGATCTTTGGAAAAGAATGCAAACCTGGTCTAGGGTCAATAATCAATGGGCGGACGAAACAGGCACTTCTCAGGTTTCCCATGAACATTGCTGTTTGTACTATTTTTTTCCCTATTTTTTTAAATGGTGACCTAGAGTTCACTTCTATAATAAAGTGTCAACTTAAAGAGAAGGCAAATGGCTAAAAGAAGTAACAGAAATCAACTGAGTTTAGGTGCTAACCACATTTACAAAATAGCTTCATAGTACTACCTACCATTAGTGTTTAAATCAAATAGCTGCTTGCTATATAGCCTAGCCTATTTGATATACAAACTACCATACTCAAGATTTTAATTAGGCTTTAGAATTTTTCTTCTTAGTTCAATAACACACCTGTCTTAGAGATTCTGTCAGACTCCAGATATTATCTAAAGAATTAACTCATATTCTTATGAAATTTTCAACCCTTGGGAAAAAATCTGCATAGTCTTGACTGGATTTTTTATGGAATAACCATATGTCCTCTCATTTGCTTTTGCATCAATAACAAATTTAAACTAATTTAGTTAATATCAGCATTACAGTCTTTCAGTTGAGGTAAAATGACTTCTCATTTGATAAACCAGAGAAATAGATCCAATAAAGGCTTTTTCCAAGATACTAATGGAGTTTCGCGTGCGCACATGAGGCCGTGGGTTCACCTATGTTGGGAGTTTATGTGAGTGTGTAGGTTTGTTTCTGTGTGTATGGAGAAGTGCAAGTACACAGGCTTGTGTGTAGAATTGTTTTATGGGTGATTTTGTAATTTTTAAGTTTCTTTCTGGAGAAATGAGCAACTAAAGAAGATTTTGGTTTCTGTCTTTTCTTTGCACATTAAGTGGGAGCAAACCCCCAAAAGATTAAAATAAGGAAATGATAATAATGAATCAGAATTATTTGTGGGTGGAAATGTTTTAAAGAGGAAAAATGAAATTTGGAGAACATTCAATATTTTTAGAAGGTATAAGATGCAACTTGAGTTGAAACAGATGCAAAAATCCCCTTTACTTTGATAGTATGAGATTGATTTTTAGAATGACTTTTCTGCCTTATTTACTAGATAGCATAGTAGAAAGAATATAGAATATAGTAATGAAGTATTTCTCTATTACATGAGTACCCTTATATCAATAATTTTCTCTTCAACTTTTTCTCACTGTGTACATCTGCAAAAATACATTATATCATCAACATTTTTTTATAATCGGACAAGTAAAATGCAAATGGACCAAAATCTTTCTTATTTATGCAAACATTAAGATGTTTGTTGTCTTACTTCTTTTTGGAACCCTAAGTGATAATGAATGGATTCCAGACTATTTGGCAAATAAAATTCCATATCCTGATTCCTAAAAACTCAATATTCACCATTATCTTTCCAATTATTCTTTTAAACATATTCATTATGCCCAACGCCCCATTACATTGGAGATGGTGTTGTAGAATATAGACATAAGTACTGTATGGTAAATACATGTATTTTATTAAGTGCAACCAATTTTTACACTATAACTTTTTTTAAATGAACTAAATTCATTCCCTTTGTTGAATTATCTGCTTTATATCTTCTTTATGGAATTTAGCCATTATGAGTCACTCCTTTACTGATTCACATATATGATATTATACCTGACTATATATTTAAAAAATGGTTTCTCACCAAGAAAAAAAAATCTCATATTCACTTGTCCCTTATTGTGCTGAGTAATCCACTTATATTTAAACAAAATCAATTATTTCTGTTTTCTTATATTTTAGTTTTTGACAGCAGACTGAAAAATACAAAATTAGTTTATGGTTAATGATTTGTACAAAAATATTTTTTTGTTTGAACTCACAAACTTACATAGTTCTTTTGTTTCTTTTTGCAGGGTACAAGTTGAATTCTATATGAATGAAAACACATTTAAAGAAAGACTAAAGTTATTTTTCATTAAAAACCAGAGATCAAGTAAGTCATTAATTTAATCCCCCTTCTCTATGTGATTGTACATATATTTACTTCAAAAATGTCCACCTGTGCCTTCCTTTTGCAAAAATAATTTTTATATAAAACAATGTGGTGTAGCTTTGAGTCCTTTCTGACTTACAGAAACCACATGTGACCAAATGGAAATGCTCTGTAGCATTTCCTAGAGTGTCATGAGCTGCTAGTGAGTTTGAGCTGTTGCCCTCTAGGTTAATAAGCCAGTGTTTAACTACTGTGCCATTAGGACCTCCTTATCAAGAATATTATTGTTAATCTCATCTTCCAGGCAGTAATATTTTAGAAAATTATAGCAGCTCATCTGGTGGTTAAGTATCTTGAACACTTTCAAAAATTCCCCAAATTCCACGTTAATAAGTAGATTTCTTAGTGAGCTGTATTAGTAGAAATATTAAGGGGTAAAAATAAAAAACACCACTAACTGGGAGTCCATTATTTGAATTGCTGCAGACACCCAAAACATTTTGTGAGGAAAAGGCCCCCGGCGATTCTGGCTGACCACAGCTGGGCATCCTTTGTTGAGTTGGTGGGAGATTGCTAGGTGGCTCTCACTCATGCCCGAGAAGGAGAACTAGATAGTGCGTGTGCTCTGAAATACACAGATTCACGCATCCTTTTACTTAGGAAGTGTGGGGTGGCACTCAGACTTCTAAGCCTCTCATCACCCAACAAATTTGGGGATATTGTTACTATAGGAGAACAGGAAATTGGCTAGTTATATCAATGTGCTAGTGATACTTGCTTCTTTCCATATTATTACATATTTATAAAGAATATGATAAGTTCATGTGTACAGTGAACCCTCGTTTATCGCGGTTAATCGGTTCTAGACCCTACCGTGATAAATGAAATTCCGCGAAGTAGGATTCCTTGTTTGTAAATCAAATATTTTCGTAGTTAGAGCATAGAGGACATGAAAAAACACCCTTTAGTCACCATTACACTTGTATTACCCAATTTATTAAACGAAAAAGGGAAAATACAGTAAAACATTTTGGACGTTACAATTATCATTTATTATTTATTATATTATTTATGGCATCAAGCGTGTATAGTATGAGCCAATCAGTGGCAGTAATGACAGAGCATGCGCTGTTATGCAAAAACCGCGATAGAATGAAGCCGCGGAAGTCGAAGCGCGAAGTGGCGAGGGTTCACTGTAATCACTTTTTATGTAATCACTGTTTACAAAGCCTACAAGAACTGGAATAGATGGGTGTAGATTTTAAGCTGTTGGTATGGATCAAATCATTGGTAGAGATGTAAACACCTAATCCTTTTGAGACTATCAGTAGGGCTTGAAAGGAAAAGCCTGAATCCTGATAAGGTATGGAAATTCTGGCTATAGGAAATTTATTACCATTTAAGGTATAATGCTAAGAGATTCTCAGTGGCATATTAGCTTCAGTATTCAGGCAGGGGAAAACTATGGTCTTTCAAACCTGGTTGTTTAGAGTCGCCAAGGAAGCCTTACTCATAGACATTACCTAAAGAGACTGCACTGTCTGAATCATTTTCCTGATTTCAATACTATTTCTCTAGACCAGAAAAAGGCTGTGCATTATTATAATAAGTTACCTGCAGCTAGTTTGGACTAACCAGTCCTTTGAGGAGACGTGTTTATGGAAACCCAGAATAATTTTATTTATAATTGAAAAGACTATACAAAGAAGCAGACCCATAAAATATATCTAGCATTTTAATAAGAAAGCTTAGGGGCAAAAACATCTCTAAACAAAAAACACAAGCTTAAGAAGCTTTTGGTTTTTGCTACTTAGAAATGTTGCCCCAAGAACACTCACATATAGCTGAATATTTTAAAAGTGATATTTCATTTCCATATTATATTAGTAATAAGAGAGATCAGACTTCCCTTAAGATTTAACTCATAATGCATGAATCAGATACCCCCTGATAATTGCATAAAGGCTAATACTTCTATTAATCAGATGCTAAGCATGTTTTGCTTAATGGTAATTGCTCCTCTTTGTCATCATTAAGAATTACAAGCTGGTTAGCAGTGACTTACTTTCATGGCTGTGGTAGTCTTAATTCTAACAAGAACTTTAAGATATCTCTAGTATATGTTAGAGTGAAAAGTCATGTTTAAGCTGTCCACCTTAGAATGGGTAGGAAAACACACGCATGTGATTTTGTGTGTGTGTGTTTCTCTCTACAGCGTGTTCGTGTGTGTATGTGTGTGTGTTACCTTATGTTGTGATCTCTGTATAATTAAATAGATATGGTGCTCTGAAAGTACAATATTTACAATTTATCCTGTGAATTTTAACAGTCAAATCTTCTAACTAGCTTAAATTTATTTACAAATTAATGAATATTAAAATATTTTAAATTTGTTCACTCCCCCCTCCCTTTCTCCCACCTCCTCCTTCCCTATAACCCCCCAGAGATATCAGCCTCATTGTTTTCTCCTTGAGATTGTTTATCCTGCCTATTTTATATAGATAGGCATGAGATCAATAATCGATAAGAAGGATGGTGTAGAATGCCTGGTGGGGTTTGATCAAGTGCAATGTAGCCGAGAGTAATTACTGAGAACCGGATGAAGGTTGAACATGATTGTGACACAGGAGGAAAGTAAACAGAAATAGAGGCAAGAACTAGAAAACAAACGACATTTATAGGTATATAAATATAGGCATGTACATATGTAAACATATTAATATAGAATGATAGGGATATAGATCAAGGTTCTTATATTCAAATGTTAAGGATTAAGGTGGCAGGTGGACATTGGACCTCAACTAAAGTACTTCCACAATGCAAGAACACTTTGTTCTAATAAACTGGCTTTCTGTCATGCTCACCTTCCCAACAGGATCACAAAGTCTAAATGGGTACATTAGCTAATGTGGTAAAGAAAGCTGATGGTGCTAGGCTATTAAAAGATATAGCATCTGGGGTCTTAAAGGCTTGAAGTTAAGTAAGTGGCCATCTAGCAGGGAAGCAACAGCACCCACATGGAAGAAGCAACCAGTCTGTATGATCAC